GCAGTTAAATCAAGCGCAGGGAAAGATTTAAGGCAGTTAAATCCAGCCCTGCCTTGGAGTAAGTCGATGAAAACGTATTTTTTTTCATACACATCGCATTATAAATTCGAAACTTACGAACGTAATAGTTGCAAATTAGAAAAAAAAAACACGAGACTATATAATTGAAATATGTATATTTAATATTTAAAGCGCAGCTCGTCTTCAGAGTGGGTTATATTTCTTAGTAAAAAAAATAAAAAAAAACCCTGGCACTATCACCACAATGTGGACGTTGATAACAACTGTAATTGTAAGTAGTGTATTTAATTAAATTAATATTTAGATAATATTAAGTAACAAGTCTAAATAAAATTATCAAAAAACACATCAATAGAATAAAAACGATTCAATGTATTGTTTTAAACTTTAACGTTCAGTAACATTATAGTAATATAAGTCATTTACGGGATTGTTACCATGTACTTTGTTTTTCGCCCGCCTACCCGCAATTACTTCAGTTACTCCGTGATCATGGCGCTTGCAACAGTACCGAAATTATCGGAAACTCGCTAAAAACAAGGTACGTGGTAACAATCCCGTAAATAATTTATATTACTATAAAACGATTCCACTAGGAAAATAACTTTGTGGGGAAATGCAACAGAAGAAATAATATTTAAATTCGTTTTTTTTCATATATACATTCTCATAAAATACATAAGTAAATCTATTCTGTTGTTAACAGAATTAAAATATTACCTACTTTTATAGTATTAATGTTTTGAGACTATTCATTTAACCAGAATACCTGATTAGGTTTTTCAATGAAAAAATGACATATTATCGTTCCCATTAAAATGGTGTGATTTTGTACGCTCTAACGAAACAGGAAATTCAGTCTTCACGCTAAACGAACTTCCTTGCATTCAAATACTTAACCTTAGGTTTGACAATGGTGCCAATTCTGGCGTGATTCTCTAAACTTAAAACTAAATTTAACATCAGTCTCTCCTTTTCATTCTGTATAGAGAACGACAAGGATACACTGCTGTCAAATTTAAGTTTAGCTTTAGAGAATCATGCTAGAATCGACACCAATGTTTTAACTGGATAGCTTGATAAAAAAATCACAATGCATGTATTGTATGTGACGACTGTTACAAATTAGTGTCCAAGCACATTGAGGCCGCGCTGTTTTATTAATACTTAGTTAAATTTGATTATAGTTTAAATACTACAGAAAATATAAACATTTGTCAATAATTGACACATTTACTATGTAATTTTCAAAGGAGATTGCTCAGCTTCCATACATGTTTGGCCTAAAGACCAATAATCATGAAAAATGTTTCCTAGGTTCGAAATTATAAATAAATTACTGTAGAAACTAGAAACAGAATTTTGAAACTCTCGTTAGGTAACCAAAGAAAGATAAGAGATTTAGGTTATACAGCCATATCTTCAGTAGCTTCATTATTTTTGATATATTTACATTATAACCATATTTTAGATTTTTAGTGTATTACAACCTTATAATGTGTTTATGGAGGTGTTTTTTTAGCGAAAAATGTAGGTATGGCAATAGACTTTATGATGTCGCCTACCATCTATAATAATTGTCTAAGCACATTTGTATGTAGTAAAAATTAAAATATAGTTGTGGACATTAATACCACAGTAGTGTAATAAAAAAATGATTTATTTTATCGACCTTTACAAAAAAGATTTCCTTTTATGTTATATAAACAACTTCGATCAGTCTTTGGCTGAATGTTACTACACCCATAGCCATTAAAAGTGATTCGTATGTTTTTCAAACCGGTAAAATTAAAAGTCCTTTTTAAAATGAATATATTATGCACAGGTGTCCGTTAAAATCTAATGACTGTAAAATAAAGTATAAATACGCCAAGAATCGTATATGTCAATATTTTTTGTGCATTTGGGCCAATGAGGGCTACCGTTTTCTGCCTCACCAGATGGCGCCACTGTTGAGTGAGGTCCTAAATTGTACCTTTTAAAGTTTATTAATACGCACATGAAATCAAAGGTTACATTTAGATCGTATTTTAACACAAAAGAACCATATCCTAAACATAATAGGCCATGCCACAGTGACGCGCAGTTCCGTTTTATTCGGAAAAAATGGGAACATAATCATTTTTCTAAGCTCAAATTTTTAATAACTGACATTCATTGCCACATAACTCATATTTGCCATAATTAAGCCGAATTGTTACCAATTATTCACAACATTATTTTAATTAGAAATAAACCCGTGCAGTCAACCAACAAGCAATAACATTTGACATTTCGGAGACCTCACGCTACACTAGCGCCTCTAGCGGCGGATTCATACGCGATAGCCCTCATTTGAGCAATCTCCTTTAACTATGGATGAAACAACGCGGCCTACAGTTACTAAAAGTCACAAGTCACGATTCACTATGTCCCTTAATTTGCTAATTAAGTATCTACATACATTTAATACTGACACAGCTCAGCGACTTCATGTTCTGTCGCAATTACATTTGGTCGTTAGCCCGTATTCAGGTGTACGAAAGACATTACTCGAATTCGGGCACCCGAAGCAATATTTACACTGGAATATGCGCTGGAAGACGGTGACGGCTAAACAAAAGGAAATCTACCCCAATATGGGCGTACTCGATTCCGTTCATTTACACTTATTCAAAATTCAATTCAATATCGTTTATTCAGTCTAGGCTGTTACAAGCACTTGTGAATGTCGAAAAGCTACGCCATCGGTTCGCAAATCTACGGCGGGAGACCTTGTACTGAGAAGAACCGGCAAGAAACTCAGCAAGGGCTGTTTTTTTTCTCCCTGAGTGACTTCATGGGTTATCTCATATTGAACTCATTTTTCAAATTGACGACTCTGTATATATAATAATATACAGAGTCGTCAATTTGAAAAATGAGTTCAATATGAGATAACCCATGAAGTCACTTTCCATTACAAATGTAAATGATAAAACAATTATGACTATAAAATAAAAAATATAAAAAACAGATTTAAAAATGAAAAAAGTTTAGGAATGCCGTGTCCCACTGTTTAGGCATAAAAACAATGGCGCGATTACAGTTGATCGTTAGCACATCCAATGGAATTCGGGTAAACGGCTACGAGTAAGGGGCCGTTCAAGTATTACGTAAGCAGATTTATTACAATTATTTACCCGCTCCTCCCCCTTGTCAGCAAAAGTAAGCAAAGCTCTTACTCCCCCCCTCACGTGCTTACGTAAACATTGGTACCTATGCATTTTTCCTTTAATGTATTCTGTTTTTTTTATTCATTCATGAGCTTCGTGAGCAGCAGTACTTAAATAGGCTTAGGATAGAGGACTTTAACGCACATAATATTCATTGAAACAAACTTTATTGACACAGTATTCAACATTGAGTAAGGTCATATTACGAACAGAACCAACTTCTTTCGAATTTTTACAATATCTCGACCCCGCCCCCCCCATGTCATCAAAAATAAGCAACGCAAAGACCCCCCTGCCCCCCTATAGTGCTTACGTAATACTTGAACGAACGTAGAGTACGCCGTATTCGGATAGACTTCCTTTTGTTTACCCGGCACCGTCTTCCAGTCCGAATTCCAGTGTAAATATAGCTTCGGTCTAACGGTTAGACCGACGACCAAATGTAATTACGGCATTAGCAGTTAACCCGAATTCATATTGTTAACCCGAATTCGTATTCGGGCTAACGACCAAGTGTATAATATTAAATAATTAATAGGTATTAATTATTATTGAGCCATTATTATAATTTTAAAGTCAATAATTTGGTCTCAGGTAACAGTCTGTAAACTGATTCTTAATTAAGTAACACTATTATTTAGCACCTTTTTGTGTTTTTGCACTGATAAACTAGGAGTTTGAGTAAACGCGAGTGTTATAGTTCAGCTAGTAGGCAAAATAGAGAGCGACTGACATTATTGGTGCTGCAATTCCCTAGTAAATAGGTACATAATTAATGTTTACATATGCAGGCTTTATAACTCGCCCTCCATCTTTTGAAATAAAAGTATTTTATGTTTTTATTTATTTTTAAGCATTTAACTGCTAGATGTTTAAATCTAAAGAAAAGTTTACTAGAAAAAAATCCACGCGGACCAGGCAGCGGACGGGACACGAACCCGCACCCTTCGCAATCCGGGCGAATGCACTGACCATTATGCTACCACGGCCCTATTGGCCGCGTCGAAATTTTTTTCTAATAAACTTTTCTTAAGATAAATGTATTTTTTTCCCTCACCCACTGCTGTGAGTCATTTGTCAAATCAATTTTGTAAAGGTACCACTCGGTAATACCACTGAAGTAGTTAATACACCAATTTTTCGGTTAAGTTATTCACTTTTCCACGCGATTCTCACACGCGCAATTTACAAATCAACATCAAAATCTCACATAGGGATGGCGATTCTTTCCGAAAAGGATCGATTTTTAAATCGATTCGAATCGTGACCTAATGAATCGATCCACCAAAAAATCGGGGCCAATAAGATCGATTTCTGAAAAATGATCTTTTTTTAAGTTTTTGTTTATAATGTAATATAAGTCTATTTTATTAAAAACAAGATACATATTACAATTTAACGATCTCTTTTCAGTAAAATCAGGTGATTCGATGATAAAAAATATTTTTGTTCAAAGATTACAATTTTTTTATTAAAAAGGGGAGAAGGAATCCAAACATGTAGCCAGTTCGCGATTTTTTTTATAATTAACCCTTTTACCGGCATCACTCTTATAACGGGTACATTCAAATAATTGTTAATACTTTTTTGGTTTATACCAAATAAATAAAATAAAATCGAATGTCGATTTTCAAGGGCGAAATATCGATTCAGTGAATCGATTCTGTACTACATATCGATTAATAAAATCGATCTTTTTGGCTCAAAAAATCGATTCTGCGATTAATCGATCTCAGATCGGCATCCCAAATCTCAAATGTCGAATCACAAGTCTCATCCATGTCCGTGGAATTTGATTCCGTCTCTTAGTTTGCTAACTGCACCTATTGTTTTTGTCGTCCCATCGGGCGTCGTTCCACCACTTCCTCAGGTTTGTATGCGTGTGCGGTTTCATCATCTCCTCATTGTTGAGCGCCGCGCACAAGTCGCACACGTCTTTGCCCAACGAATGTTCGTATCTGTAGTGGTTCCTCCACCTGAAGAAATCGTAGAACTTCTCCTTGTCGTTGTAGATCTCGTTCATTCTCTCGAGGAGGTTCCTCGCGCCGAGCTCCAGGGCGTTGAGGTAACTCCCCGGCGGCAGGAATCTGCGGAGAATAATTTGTTTTATTCATCATCATCATCATCATCATCAGCCTATTAATGTCCCCACTGCTGGGGCACAGGCCTTCCCTTTGGATGGAATAGGGAGATTAGACCATGACCCACCATGCGAGCCCAGTGCAAGTTGGTGGGTGCTAACGACAGCAGATGCAGCCGGGACCAACGGCTAAACGTGCCTTCCGAAGCACGGAGGAGCTCGAGATAGTAAATTTTCGGTCACCTATCCAATGACCGACCACTGCGAAAGTTGCTTAAATTCAACGATCGCAGCGGAAAGCGCTGACCACTTGCGCCATCGAGCTCCTCAATTTATAATAATTTGTTTTATTGTTGCATTTTATTAGGAACTTAAGTAATTACTCTTTATTGCATCATATAGTTCAAAATAGAAAGTCAAATACATAGCAATGGTGGGATTATCTCGAAAAGAGAACTCTTCTAGCCAACGTAGGTGGTGTCTAGTGTTGCCAGGTGTACCGATTTGCGCGGGACGTCCCGATTTTCAGGGGTCTGGGGACGCGTCCCGATTTGTACCTGATCGGGACGCTAAATGTCCCGATTAATAAAAAAAATAAGATTTAGGTAGTTAATATAATACTATACTTGCACTAGTAGTTAAAAATGCAATAAATTAAACTCTAACTTAAAAACCCATTCTTTTCGACCAGACTTAAAAACCCGATCTGCAACCCTAAATCCCGATGTTTTTGACCTCATGTACCGATTTATAACAAATCGAATCTGGCAACACTAGTGGTGCCGGAGATTCCAAACTTAACGGGAAACAGAAAGTGCAATAAAAGTTAAACTAAACTTTAACTTTATTACGTCTGCAAAAGTTTTCATGACTGCAATTCCAAAAACGAAACAGTTAAAAAGAGTTCGCCGACAGGTTTACATACTTCTGTTTTATAACACTATGAGAATTAATGCGCAATTTACAGATAGATGGACCTAAAATAATTTAAGCTCCATAGTATGACGTTTATCTCGGTCAGTCGATTAAGCATAATCTGATCATTTGATGGGTGACCACATTTTAAGCCGTGTCGGCTTAAATGTTAAAAAAAGGAAGTTATAATTGAAAGCGCCCATTACAATAATCAAGGTTCTGTGCCTTTAATCTTGTAAGGTTCCAATTAACCTTTTCTCCCTTTCGAACTGTTGTGGATCGGTACCAATCCACTATTTTCAGTTCGTTCAATGAAGCGAGGACTATGGTAAATAAAAACACTGTTGCGTAGCTGAATTAAGTTTGTCTTGCATGTAAAAAACTTGTAAAATAGCACAACACAGTTTTAACAGCTTAGAAGTAATTGCGTATTATTTTTAGAACAAAAAACCACAGAATAACTTGGTTGAATCACATAGACTAAAAAATCATTTATTGGAAAACATAGACTAATAATTTTAAATTAAGCAACATCCAACAATTAACCAACATACAAAAATACATCCGCCACACCACCCCCCTACGGAGAGAGACAACTAGTCTTTGAAAATCTTAAATCTAACGCGCCTACCTGATCGTGTGGTATAAGGCGGAGGTGTAGATGAATGTGCAGGTGCGGGTGTTTGTTGATCTGTCGTTTCCCCAGGAGTTTTTTCATCTTTAGGACAAGGCAATTCAGAAGCAGCCTTAGTTAATTTATTTGTTGTTGTAGCTGTAGACATAGGATCTTGCAAAATGAACGCAGGCTTGATTCTGTCTACACTTACAGTAACATTTTTACCTTTCACACTGATAGTAATTGTTTTCCCATCAGTAGCCCTTTTTACCACTTGGTATGGGCCACTATAGGGAGGTAGCAAGGGACGGCGAACAGCATCTTCGCGAAGATAAACGTGGGAGGCAGAATCGAGATTTTTAAAAACAAAAGAAGTTTTATTGCCATGTCGAGATGCCGGTACCGGCCGAATTCCTTCCATGTGATGTCTCAGTCGCGTGACGAAGTCGTTTAAGTCACCTGAAACCTGAGGATGTAGAGACGAAGACACTACCATTTCCCCAGGGAGACGCAGCGTTTCGCCATACAGCATTTCCGCTGCGGACGAACCAATGTCTTCCTTGTAGGCAGATCGAATTCCTAATAGTACAAGAGGTAAAACACTAATCCAATCGCCACCGTGGCACATAATCGAAGCTTTTAATTGGCGATGAAAACGCTCTATCATGCCGTTCGCTTGCGGATGATATGCGGTAGTTCTAATGCGCTTGGTAGCAAAACTCTGCATCAGTCTGCGGAACAAATCTGATTCGAATTGCGTTCCTTGATCGGTCGTGATGACAGATGGCACGCCAAAGCGAGAAATCCATTCGCGAACCAAAGTCTCTGCAACTTCTTCAGCCGTGATGCTTTGCATCGGCCAGGCTTCAGGCCACCTTGAAACCCGATCTATAGCGGTTAAGCAGTATCGAAACCCTTTGCAAGGCGGTAGGGGCCCGATAATGTCGATGTGCATATGCATAAAGCGACCACTGGGTGTGTCGAAATTATTAAGTGGGGAAGAATTGTGTTTAGAGACTTTGCTGCGTTGACATGCGACACATGTGCGAGCCCACTCTCTGCAATCCTTGTTGAGCGCCGGCCAGACATAGCGATCAGCTACGAGACGAGCCGTAGCACGAATACTAGGATGGCTCAAACCGTGAAGCTTGTCAAAGATACTACGACGCCAATCTTTTGGGACAAAAGGACGAGGTTTTCCAGTAGAGAGATCACAGAATAAGGAGAAATCTGTGCCAGGTACGCTTATTTTTTTAAGACGGAGGCTGGAATTTTCCAATAGTTGAGGTAACTCCATGTCTGTTTCTTGAAGCTTGGCGAGACCCTCATATTCTTGCTCGAGTGAGATTGCTTCGATTCGGGACATGGCATCCGCAACAACGTTATCCTCCCCTCTAATATATTTTATATCTGTCGTAAACTGACTAATAAAGGACAGTTGGTTGAGCTGCGGTGGAGGAAGCTTCTCGCGGCGTTGGACGAAAGCATACAGCAACGGCTTATGGTCTGTAAAAATGGTCACATGTTGGGCCTCGACGATGTGCCGAAAATGCTGTATACTTTCGTACACAGCTAATAGCTCGCGATAGTAAGCTGGCCACTGACACTGTTGAGGGGTCAATTTTTTACTGAAAAATGCAAGAGGGGACCAATGGCCATCAACAAACTGTTGCAAACAGGAACCGATATGTACATTAGATGCGTCAGTAAACAACCCGAGGGATGCATTCGCGACAGGATGGTGAAGCAAAGTTGCGTAGGATAAGCTATTCTTGCACGCTTCAAAATTCTCAAGGAGCTCGGGTGTCCATGGATATGGTTTTTTACCCTTGCTTTTTGTTGCTACCAAAGCATTTATTAGTGGGGCCTGAAATTTCGCAGCATAGGGGATGAAACGCCGATAGTAATTTAACATTCCAAGGAATCTCCGCATGCCTTGTACATTTTCAGGGGGTTTAAAATTGAGAATGGCTTGGATACGATCCTGAGGAGGTCGTGTACCGTCTGAACTGATGTGATATCCGAGAAACATGACCTCACTTGCACCAAGAACGCATTTTGATGGATTAATGACAACTCCATAATCCTGGAGGCGCTTGAAGAGGGTGCGAAGGTGCACCATGTGAGTGGCCGCATCTGGTGAAAAAACCAAAATGTCGTCTATGTATGGAAAACAGAAATCGAGACCCCGTGTGACCTCATCGATAAAACGCTGGAACGTTTGTCCCGCGTTTCGTAAACCAAACGTCATGAAGCAAAATTCGAAGAGGCCAAACGGAGTTACGATGGCAGTCTTGGAAATATCTTCTTCAGAAACGGGAATCTGATGATATGCTTTCACCAGATCAAGTGTGCTGAACACCTTGGCACCAGAGAGATTATGCGCAAAATCGTTAATGTGCCGAACGGGGTACTTGTCTGGGATGGTCCTCGCGTTAAGGGCGCGGTAATCGCCACAGGGACGCCAGGAATTGTCCTTTTTGAGGGTCAGGTGCAGTGGAGATGACCAAGCACTTTTAGACGGCCTTGCAGTTCCACTTCGTATCATTTCTTCAAATTCTTTTTTAGCTGAAATTAGCTTGTGAGGTGCTAAGCGACGAGGACGACACGACACAGGAGGGCCATCGGTTGTCTGTATGTGATGCACAGTATTGTGTTTGATCACTCTCGGTAATCCAGGAGGTCGAACAATGTCCGGGAATTCAGAAAGTAATGATGCATAATTTGAACTTCCTACAACAACTGCCTTGACGCTCGGCTGCTCTACTGCAAGACGTGAAACTGGACAACATAATCCAGTGGTACTGTCTATTAACTTTTTGTTGTGACAGTCTGGCAACAGGTGATAATGTGCCAAAAAATCGGCTCCAATTATAGCCCGTTGAACGTCGGCAACTACGAACAACCACAAAAAATCTCTACGCAATCCCAAGTTAAGACATAGATTGATGGTGCCATAAGTTCTAATCGTACTGCCATTTGCAGCACTGAGTTCGTAATCCGAAATTTTGCGCTGACGTGGAAGCCAACTATGAGGAAAACAGCACAAATCGGATCCGGTATCTATTAGAAACTTGTGTTTGGTAACTTGGTCGGTAACAAAGAGACGGCGGCTGAGATGCGAGCAATCAGCTGCCGCCACTACTGACTGCTTTTCCGGTTTTCCGGAGATGATGTCCAGGTACAGCCAGTAACGCATTTGGAGGCCTTGTGCCCAAACCGGCTGTGGTACCAACATAACTTGATTCCGGCTGGCGAAATGGCGCGGGAGTTCCTAGGTCTAGAGCGGCTGCGATCGCGTGAATAATTTTGGTCGCGCGCAGATAGAGCATTTACCATTTTTGTTAACTCCTCAACTTTATTATTCAAATTTGCGAGCATGTCTGGTGCAGGGGTACCAGTCGTAAGCACACTGTCATACGAATACGAAGCTGCTGTGGAGCATACAGCGTTGGGTAATCCGGTGAGCTCGGTAA